GGGAGGGGGAGGGAGGGAAGAGGTCCGGGAAATCCGAGGCAGGTTGCAGGGGTGTTCTGGCATCAAATCTTTGTCCACTCGTTAATCGAGAGTTGGTAGTCCCTGGTGAAATCGCCCTGGTCCTCTCCCTGACCCCCTTAAACCCCTTTCCCTACTACCTCTGCTATCCAACCTCCCCCCCCGTTCTCCTCCCAGCCAGTCATTGCAGAAGTGTTTAGTAGAGTTCAGAATGTTTGATTTTTTTTAATTTTTTTTTTGAAAACACCCCCTCCGGTGTTAGTGGTGCTGGTAAGAGTAGACACCACTAGCACCTGGTGAGAGGCTCCATCTATTGGTGGGGAGCATCACCTGCTGAATGTCTGATTTCTTGTGGAAGTGATCAGGTTTTTCTTTACTTCGTTCCATGATTGTCTTAGGAGTTCCGCCTGTAGCACCTGTCTTTTAATGGTGTCTCTAGGAAGTCAGGGCCGTCCGGTTGAGCGCCTTCCATTTCAAAGGTGCCCCTTCTCCACCAGAGGGTCCAGATGACCGCACGCCTCCTGACTATGAACATAATATTGTTAGCAAAAGTGCTGGCCGACTCAGGGTTCCGTGCACCACATAGCAGGGCCCTCCATCCTATCGGCCACGGTACCTCCGTGCCCAGCTGACTCCATCCGCGGTCGCACCAGCGCCAGATGCATACTGAGTCGGGGCACTGCAGCATAATGTGCTCTATAGTTTATCGGATCCTCCTCCGCTACGGGTCGATCTGGTTGCAGAGCTTACACAGGGGAGGGGGCAGGGCCTTTCTGCTCACGTGTCGTGCTGTTAACCAGTCATTGGTGGGTAAGCATCGGTGCTCAGAATTGCCACTGCAGGGATGCTATCATGGCTGGGCATGTTTTAGTGGCAGCGAACCATTTTTCTTCCTACGTTTAAACCGCCAATACCTGGCCCAGCTATCGGCCATGGAAAAAAATAGAGTAGAAACGTTTCTACTCGGATGAATTTGGGCGCTCCTGTAGTGGCCCGTACTTTTTCGAAAATCTTGGCTTGTTAATGGCCACGACTTTAGGAAGTACTGGTGGTTTAAGTGTTTCATCTATCTGTTGTTTACGTTCGCATGTAGGTTGCCCTATGCCCGCAGCAGCGTATCATATGCGGCTTTGACTTGGTTGTGCAGGTGTTGACTGTTGGATCCCCCCTGTTTGAGATGGTCGTCCAGATCCATGTGGCGGGGTCAAAGGGCAATAACAAGTTTATGGGTGTGTCAGGTCTAAAGACGGTCCATTTGTCATTGTCCTTGAGAAGTATACCTCCCCCTTTGCTCTGCCTCCTTTCATAACGTGCAAGTGTGCCGTTAAGGCACCGGGGGGTGTGGGCAGCTGGCACTCGATCATCATCAACGTGGCCAGCCTTGTGAGAGGGACAGTAAGAGGGGAGCTCCAAGAACAAATAAAATGGGCGGCCTCCCAAAGATAGCTGAGGTAAACATAACCAAGAAAACGATATTTATTATATAATGGTATTAATGGATCGATTGTGTTTCTTTTTTTTTCCGCAGCTGCATTCTGACAACAGACCACTATCTGCCAGGATTCCCTGATGGGACCTGGAAAACAACACAGACCAATGCTGCAACGACTGTCGCTGTACAAAAAATGTATGAAGCATCGTCACTGATATATGCTAAATGAAGGATTTCATATTGCTAACTGTTTCATTGTTGGGTTGTCACATTGCTTGTATAATGGTACATTAGCTCATCTAAAGCATGCTTCATCGTCTGCAATAGAGGTAAAGCTGCTGTGATTTTAGATCACACACACACACACACACCTGTCTCTTATACACATCTAGATGTGTATAAGAGACTCAGTCTATGATGCAGGAATGTGAGAGTAAACCGGGAGTCTGGTACATCAATTCCCCACAATATAGGGGGTGGATTTTTTATGACAATCTGGACC